CGTCTTTGTTCTTGATTTTTATTAAGAATTGGTTTATTGTTCTTTTATTTAGAATGTTCATTGTTCTATGAGTAAATTGAATTGCATTATAATTTTTGAATTCTCTACTTTAGATCGAAAACTGGATTAAAGTGAACTAATTTTTTAATAAAAAAAATTAATGAGATCAATCAAAACTAAAAGGGTAATGAATTTATAAACATAATTTAAAAATATATAGACTTACAAGTTGATTATAAATTTTACAGGTATATTAAATAAACATAATTCACATAAGATACGTACAAAATTCTAATATGATATATACATTAGTGTTATAAATTTTATTCTCCATTTTATTCTGAAAGAATTACAAAAAGAGTAAAAATTGTGACATCAGAAGAAAATTAAGCGTAAGTAAGTGTTTCAAAATAATGCAATCCATCAAACTCAATAACAACATAGGGATAAAGAGTTTGAGATGGAATCATATCCTCCTTCTCCTTCTTAATCCCAATTTTCTTCAAGAACTTTTTTATATTTTCATGTTTTGTATTATCAATATCTTTAATCATTTCATTATCTTTCGAATGATTCTGAAAAAATAATTATTAGAATATAAGTAACGAAGTTAATTTTGTCTCAGTCAATCTATAATATTAAAAGCAAAATTAGTAAATATTTAAAGAGGATATAGTTTATTTTGTGAGTTTTAAAAGTGTTGTTGAAATACTTGTTTATTAAAAGTACTTTTAATAAAAAATTATTTAATGTTTGATATAAATAACTGCAGAAAGTACTGTCTTATAAAAAAAAAAATTGTGTGTTTGATGAAAATGACTTTAAGATTTTAAATTAGTAAAAGTCAAAATTATTTTCTAAAAGTCACACATTGTGATGTTTATATTTAAACTTATTAAAAATATTTTTTGATTTTAATTTTTTTACCAAAATCACTTCAAATTTTACCTGTTTGATCGCGAAAGTACTTCAAATTTTACCTATTTAATCGCAAAAGTACTTTTATAATACAAAAGTTACGCTAAATGCACATTTAATCAATATTTATCTAATAATATAATACTTTAAAAAAATTTACTAACGAGAAAAACAAAAAATATTAAAAAAAGATTACCTCATCGGCGTAAATTGCCATTGAAGCGAAATCTCGAGAGAGGGACATGTTGCAAAGCATTGGTAGCTAGAACTTTCATGAATGGTTAGAGACTTTCAATTGTTGGCTTTACCAATGGGAGGTGCCTATAATAAACTTAGGAAGAATGGTTCTCTTTGTCTTAACCAACAATATCATCTTTGCTAGAATTAGGTTATCTACTTTCATTAAATAATATATACATATATACATATATACATATAGGCCATTCATAATAATAAAAATAATTTTAGAACCCATTTCATATTATTTGCCTCCATTTTTTATCTTAAATTTTTGGTTAATAATATTCTTATATGTTTTAAATATTTTATTGCCTTTGTGTGGTTTATATGAATAAAATAAAATGATATATTTTGTATATAAGTTTACCTCCTTTGTTAATATTTTTTGGCCAGTAATTTATTTTAAATTATTTAAATATATTTTATGTAGATAAAATAAAATAATTTATTTTGGGAATTTTTATTTTAAAAACAAAATTACTATTTAAAAATCTGTTGGAATAAAAAACTGGAGATGCAGGGGATCGAACCCTGTGCCTCTCGCATGCAAAGCGAGCGCTCTACCATTTGAGCTACATCCCCAGTGCGTTTAAGAGCAAGCAAATAATCTATCAGAGTTTTCCGACTGCTTGCTTGAGCTTCAGAGGAAAATTACATTATAGAAACCGAAGGATTCACTCCCTTCTCTTCATCATCTCGGAGATGGATTTTCAGGTGGTGGTCTTAGCCGGCGGCACTTCAACCAAGCTCGTCCCTTTAGTTTCCAAGGTGTTTTTTCTGTTTTTCCCCTTTAATTTTTGTTTGCTTTTTCCCTCAAATTTTCCTTTCCGCCAAACATTTTCTTTGTTAACCTATTTCATGGTTATCGTCCACCTTTATTTTTTTTTTTCCTGTCATTCTAATTTTACTTCTGTCGATAAAGCAGGAGGTGCCAAAGGCTTTACTTCCTGTGGCAAACAGGCCGGTTCTCTCCTACGTTTTGGAGCAACTTGAGCTCTGTAACATTAAGGATCTTATTGTTGTACGCTTCTCTTCCTTTCTCTTTTGCTCTTAATTTTGCGTTCTGCTCTGTTTGGACTGGGGAATTAGTAATGGAATGACGTATGTATCTCCATTATTCTTACGGTTCAAAAGTATATTCTCTTATGCAATTTTCCTGGTGGCCAAACATGGAATTATATGCTTGAATCTTTTTTTTTTTTTTTTTTGGAAAGTTAAGGGTTCTTGATTGGGTTCGTCTTTTTTCTTGTTTGGTAAGGTGGTTGAAGGGGAGGATGCAGCTCTTCAAGTCGGTGCTTGGATTTCTGGGGCTTATGTTGATCGCCTACATGTCGAGGTACTTCTATCCATAAGTTTGATTAGTAGAATGAGTTGCAAACCATAGTTCCTACTGTTGCATTAGTAAATAAATGAATAGAAAAGCTTGGTTTTTTTATCCAATTTGCTTGCTGGTATAAATAATTGTATGTAATGTGGGCTTTATTGGAGCTAAAAGTTTCATGGCTGCTATACTATTTTGAGGAAATGCTGCTTGATTTTGTTGAACATAAAATTTTCCACGAACATTATGAATGAAAAAAGATCGATACAACTATATCATATATGTGCATCCATTTTTTCTTCTTGTTATATGCATTTATATTTTGCACAACTGGCAGCACACTATGAAGTTAAAACAATGGAGATGTGCAAAAATTCAGCTATTGCACTTAATTTAGATGACTCCGGTGTACTATGTGAAGATACAAATCTATTACAAGCAAATTCTAAGATGGTTTGTAGTAAATGCTACAGACTCAACTGACATAAGTGTCCATTGCTTCCTTTCTCCCTCTCAAAAACCATAATTTCTTTCTCTCTTCATCTCTTAAAGCTTATCCATGAATGCTCTGCTTCTCATCAACCATGAAGCTATCATGGCCCTCAACAAGGACACCTGCCTACAATTATTTCATGAAATAGATTGGTTATACGTTTGGTGAGGTGATGCCCGCTGATAATGGTTATAATTTTTTAGTAGATTTAGTCTAGTTATAGTGATAAAAGACAGGCACGTGGGTGTTTTTCTTACCATGTCTTGGATGACAGAGTAGATATGCTGTACAAAGCCTTTTGATTTAGATGAAGTCATTAATATAATAAGACTGACGGGTATTTCTGTTAGCTCTAGAAAAAGAAAATGAATAAAAGTAAGGTGGCAATTTATACGGAATATTAGTTGTTTGGTTGTCATTGTCTAGTGTGAGCTCAAATATGTACTACAGAAACCACAGATCTTGCTATACTAGCTGTAAATATAATCTAGTAAATTGTTTTTGGACTAATCTAGTAAATTGTTTTCATTTCAAAAAAAAAAAGTTCTCTTTCTTTTTGTGGAAGTTGGTATTGCAAGAAATGTAGGCCTGTCTCATTTGCTAATGAAGCCAAGGTGCATGATTCCTATGTGCCATCATTTGCTTCTTAGTCTAAGTAACTGAATTGCACCATTCAACACTCTGGAGTACTTCAAACAATGTGGAGTGCTTGCCATCATTTGCTTTTTGTGGAAGTTGGTCAAGGAATCAACTAGGGCATCTATCAATCGGTTCCCTGGTTTAATCAGTGATTCATTGATTGAATTGGTTTTTCGAATATTTATATATAAAATAGTGTAGTATAAAAACTAATAGTTGTATCATTCAAATTATATATGATAGATAATCGTCAACATCGGACAATATATAAAAACACGAAATCATCATGAGTGTTTCAAATTTCATTTTTCCTCTTACTACTTTTTGTGTCACGTGGAAAGAGTGAAACAAAAAGGCTCTTGACAACTTCTTTTCTGCTTCCATCATTTTAGAGCAGTTGGTTTGGAATTTTAAGTGTTTGACTCTATTTGATGTAGAGATTGCAAATTCTATATATGTCTCTTTGTTTTGGGTTGCACCCTCTTGGTTATCATACAAGAATCCATTTCTTTTCCTTTTCCCTTACCCTTAAGTCGATCATAGTGTCAAATGTGATTCCAATGAACAAAGGTATTGAGGAGTAGCACTTTCAAAAAACCCATTAAAGAGTAGCATTCTCTTGAATTACTTTTTTCCTACATTGCAGCTGCACTGTTCATTTGAAAGTCTATAGTAAATGTTTCTTGAAATATTAACTTGATTCATAGACCCTAACCATTCGTTACACTGAAAAAAGATTTATTTTTTACCATTCTACATTATTGTATAGTGGCTGTTTGTTTTTAGTTGATATTATAAGATCCATCATGCAAACAGAGATTGCTTCAACTTTTTTAATATTGCAGGTTGCTGCAGTCCCTGATGATGTTGGAACTGCTGGTGCCCTTCGGGCCATTGCGCATCACTTGACTGCCAAAGATGTTTTGGTCAGCCTTGATTTGCTTTTCAGTGTTTGAGTTGAAAAGTAAGTGATTCCTTATAGTTATGGATTGCTTGTTCCTGCAGGTTGTGAGTGGGGATCTTGTTTCGGATGTTCCACTTGGTGCAGTTGCGGCTACACATAGACGACATGATGCAGTTGTAACTACAATGCTTTGCCCCGCCCCTGTCAGTGGACCATCAGAGTCTGGATCCTCTGTTGGAAAAGATAAAACAAAGAAACCAGGACGCTATGACATTATAGGACTGGATCCCTCTAAGCAATTTTTGTTATACATCGCCACAGGTTTGTTGCTGATATATTTTTATGCATCATTTTGTCCGCTACTATTGCTCACTTTTGTACATGTGTTTCGCCCCCTTGGCGTTATTTTTAATACTATTACTCACTTTTTTCACAAAAAATCATTTTGTCTGCCACTTCCCTTACATGGCTGATGTTACTGGAAGCAGGAGCTGAAGTGGAGAAAGACACTCGAATTCAGAAGAGAATTCTCCGTGCAGTAGGTCAGGTATTAGATTAACATCAATCAAAATTTATTTTTAGCTTTTCCTGTAGTTGATAGCAAATTACTTTTGGCTTTCTCTACAGTTGATAGCTAATGAGCATTGGTATGTTTTGTTGATAATATTCTTATCATAAGCTGTTGTGCCACCGAAGACAACTTATGGCTTATTAGTTATCATAGCCATTCCATTCTAACACCTAACTGGTGCCAAAATTGAATGTTTAACTCTTTTATTCCATGATATAGTATAATTGCGTAAAACTATGCTCTTCATGAACAATTCAAGTGCCAATATATATTTTCTTACAAAATCCTTCTGTTTACGCATGCATAATTATCCAAAAAAAGACATCTCTGCATAATGGTTGTTGGAACCATTCTCTAGTCAAATAAATGCCTATGTTGAGCCTGTTTAATTTATTGCTTTTCAGATTATTTAGAAGGACCAGTTCTTAGGCAGGTTAATGGCATTGAACTTGCTTGTTATTCTAAATTATCCTTTCTAATTCTTAATTTAGATGGAAATTCGAGCTGATCTCATGGATGCTCACATGTATGCCTTCAAGAGGTTGGTTGTTTTCAACTTTTTTCTTGATATGTCATGTTGTAAGTTTGATCTGTTCTTTACTAATTTTATTCTCTTTCAGGTCTGTCCTTCAAGAAGTTCTTGCTCAAAATGGTACATTCCAAAGCTTAAAACAGGATGTACTTCCTTATCTTGTCCGCAGTCAGTTGGTTAGTTTATAAGGTCCCTACATATGAATTTGCTTCTGGATGAGTTCTCTTTTCACTAATTTCCTGATGTGTTTCTTGGGTTCCTTTGTGGCAACTAGAAATCAGAAGCTTTATCAAATGGTGCACAAGTGGAAGAAAATGGAAATGAGAAGGTTGGTTTCCAGAGCAACCAGGTAGTGCAGGCTCAGATACTTGCTAATGCATCCTCACCAAGGTTTCACAACCTCTACGCATCGGTTCCTTGTGGTTCTGCAACTGTTCGGAAAATCCATAAATGCTGTGCTTATATTGCAAGTGACAGCAAGTATTGTGTGCGCTTGAATTCTATCCAAGCTTTCATGGACATCAATCGAGATGTGAGTTAATATAAGTCACATTTTGTTTTTCTTATTTGAATACCCGATTATACTATTTCTCGATCTTTTCATTTTGTAGTTTTCCCAGAAGGTCACTGTTGATAAAACGTTTTTTGTTTTTGATATTTCAGGTTATCGGTGAAGCAAATCATCTTTCAGGATATACCTTCTCTGCCCATAATAACATTATCCATCCTTCAGCGGAGCATGGGTCCAAAACTACTGTAAGTCCATTCTGTATAAATAAAACCCTCACTGAGGGTTCATTTAACACAGTTTGCATAGTAATAACCTCTTACACTTTTTGCATTTGTAATAAGCCGAATTGAATTTTAACTCTCTTTTCTCTATTGCTTGGTGAACCCTGTAGGCATCTCTTGTGTAGTTTATCTACTTCTTTGGTGATTGTAGGTAGGACCGCATTGTATGCTAGGAGAAGGTTCACAAATGGGTGACAAATGTAGTGTGAAAAGATCAGTAATTGGCCGTCACTGCCGAATAGGTTCCAATGTGAAGGTATGACAATTTCTCATCCATAATTGTCAAGGTATATTTGTGTACAATGATTACCGCTGGAGCTATTTTCAATTTTCTTTCTATGCGTGTATTTAGGTCGTTAATTCAGTGGTAATGAATCATGTTACCATTGGAGATGGTTGTTCAATACAAGGTTCTGTAGTTTGCAGCAACGTACAGCTTCAAGAGCGAGTTGTATTGAAAGATTGTCAAGTAATCTCTCTTCTTCATCTCCCCTCCCTCCTGGCATACATTAAAACATATTCATTTTTCTGTCCATGGACCTGTGCTTTTATGGTTCATTTGCTCGCATACGTTCAATATTATGTGAAATGATTACGAGATGCTTTATGAACATGAATAAATTGAAAGCTTCCATAAATATAATAGTCCATTTTAAAATCTTATTGAAAAAAAAAAAAATCATAGAATAAAAAATTTAAAGTGGATAAATTCATTTCTGCTCTTAGAACACCTAATAATTTTTAGAGGAACTTATGTACATACTTTCAGGTTGGAGCAGGTTATGTTGTAGCTGCAGGTAATGAGTATAAAGGAGAGTCTTTGGCTAAAAAGGAGAAATAAAAGGAAGAGGAAGAAGAGCAAGTTTCAGCCTTAGAAGAGGAATGCAAATCTCAATTTGCTATTGGTTTCTTGCAGCACAACTCACTGCATACACCGGAAAGATGGCAGGAAGCAAGTGCAGGTTCGTACCCTATTCGATGAAAAGAAAAAGAAAATGTCTTCTTTGCATATTGATTTTCAGCTCTCGTGCTGCTTGAATCTGATTCTGTATCCCATGTAATTTTACAATTGACAGAGGGACAAATATTAGATTATCACCAATTTTGTAATGGGTAGATTAATAGATTATATGGATTTTCTTTTTACACAGGAGTTTATGTAATGGGTACCATTTGGTTGGGTTTTTTTTTTTTTTTGAGCTCAAAACATTAAAATTAGTTTATAAATTTACCTCTAGGTTTGAGAATCTTCACATTGTTCCTCCACTAGTTTTTATGAAATGTATTTCATGAAAAAATCAGTATTATTCTAGGTAGAAAATAAATAAAAACAAATCTAGTCACCTATTAAACAAGTACGGGTAAACTAGTATGCGGAACTTTAGAGACCGTTCGTGGGAAAATGATATCGAAGCTCCACTTGTAATTCAAGAAATTATTGCGGCTGCATTTAGTTGGATTACACCGAGTAATTCTGTTCGGTCATTTCTTTTGTAAATTTTTTGTACACGAGTGGTACTCCGGTTTTAATATCTTGTTAATACAATATTTCATATTTTTTATTTTGAAAAAAAAAAGTAATTCTATTAGGTCATGTTAAATTTTTTTTTTCCTAACAGACAATGAAGAGAAGTCAGTCAGAGACAAAAAAGTGTTATAAATCGCAAATTCTCGAAGAGCATATATTAATTTATATTCACGCAAAAGAATCACATCGTGAAGAACTTTGAAACATAAAATCATAGTTTGTATAATTTTTTTTAATAATAAATACACACTTCAATATTCTAAAGTTTTCAATATAATTTACAAGCAGAGTCCAACGAATTCCTTTTCTTTTGAAGGAAAAAAGTTGTGCATCTTATTTTATAGACATTCTATCTATTAACAATTCAAGCCTTTACCTTTTTTCTAACGGCTGCGATGGAACCAAACCTTTACCTTTTAATAGCTAAGAAAAAGTCAGATCCCTTTAAAACTTTGAACAATTAGTGAACATATTGAATAAGAAGAAATCATATTATAAACATGATCAATTTAGCATATAAACTTAAGTAACGAATGCATGTTAGACACAAGAACAAAAAAACCTTACCAGATAACTTACGACATATAAACATGATTCAAAAGGGCCTTTTTCATTTTAAATGCAAGGAGATCATCAAGTCCAAAAGTTGAGGGGCATAATCGTGATAGTAACCCTACTTGAAGGAACTGAAGAAACCAACAGTGTCGCTGAGCGCCTGGATAAAGTAATCAACATCCTCTTTGGTGTTGTAGAAGTAGAGGCTAGCTCGTGCACTTGCACTCACTCCTAAGTAACGATGAAGCGGCTGGGCGCAGTGGTGACCTGACCTGATTGCCACTCCATGCTGACCAGAGATTCAACTACATCAGTTCTGACTTGGGATAAACTCTCTTAGCTTATTTTAGTTGTAGAAATCTATTTCAAGCTTTTATTTTTAAAATTTATATATGTTTTACACATGAAAGATGTACACTGGTTGAAAATAAAAACAGATATGAATAAGTATTATTAACATGGCTTGG